TTAAGCTTCTTCCTCCTTCAGGCAAAAAGCTTAATCATTTTTTTCTACTGACCTTGTCTTGTCTAAAGATGAGTCAATGAATCAAGTTACGAATGATATATCATGAATAAATGATTTATGCTGGGTCAGATCAAATATGATGTATTACTTAGGTCCTTGAGTATTATTGCATATAAAGATTTATCCAAAGTGTCATACAATTGGTCAGGGAGAGAATTCTTAAGTCTTTTTACATCCTTTTGGAAAAAAAAACCAAAACAAAACATGAAAAACCCTCCAGTATGTAACTGTTCTCTGACTAGAGAAATCTATCTTGGCAAAAAATCTCTGTCTTTGTCAAAGGCCTAAGAAAGAGAGTCCAGCAGTCCCAGTTCTCTGCTGGAATGCAGGAGCCCCCAAGCATCCCTGCATTTCTCTTTCTTAGCAATCTCCCTTTGCCACTCTCTACAGCAGAGGGAAAACCCTTTAGGTCATCAGGGTGCCGTGACACTGACCAGCTGAGAGCCCCCAGGGGGATCATACAACATGTAAAATTTACAGGAGTGAGGTTTCCTCTCATAAATTTACTTACAGAACAACTTTCTGCCTTAGCCTTCATTACATTGATTACTCATTATTGATTTCTAACAGTATTGGAATGACAAACACCTTCTCTGACATGTTCCTCCAAAAAGGATTGCATTGTAGCAGTAGCCAATGCCCCCTCTTAAGAGATTTTATTAAAATAATTACAAACTTGGAAATAGTTCCTCACATGGGCAGGACTGGAGATCCCTGGAGAGTTTTGGCTGAAGCCTGGCCATAACTCTCTGCAAAGAAAACTGGTGCAGAAAATCTATTAAAAAAACTTACTAAAATATTATGATGGAAACAAAAAGTTTCTTTAGCCCTCTCAACTTCCTGCTGTTCACTTTCTTGCTCTGTAAATGTGATGGTTTGGGTTTCTCTTTCCCAATGGACTTAACTGCCCAGTTACAATTACTAATTCCAACACTCCCAGTACTGGGAAGGACATTCTAACCACCACCAGGATCACACCTTATGAGGTCACCTGCTCTATGTCTGCTTACTGAGTTACCCATCATAGTCAGTTATTTTCATTTGTTATAAAATTATAAAGTGATGGGCATCAGCACATGCAACTAAAGCAAATTAATGTATTCTGAAAAGGCTCTTTTCTCAGAAATGCTAATAGATGACAGAAAAGTTGGGTAAATATAATTATTCTGACAAGAAAGAGTTTGTCTTATCCTGAGCAATTTGTAAATCCACATAGATGGTGAAGGCCTCATAGAAATAAGAGCAAAAAACATGAGAAATTAGTCATCTGTCAAATATTTTCCACTGTATTGTGACCAGAACTAAGCCCTTGCAGTTTACAAAGCTACACAGCCTAGAACCAATTCCTGGGATGGCCAGCAAAGTAGGTGAGACAGAATTCTGCCAATCTAAAAATGCAGTTAGGAGGTGCAAAGCTGGTTTAAAAAAACCCCATGATGTTGCAACCAGTCACTGCAAATTGTTATCACTAAATCTAAGAATGAAGCATCAGCGAAGTGTGCAATAGAACAAGTTAAATTCTTCATAAATTAATAAAAATGTTACGAGCCACGAATTTATGTATTGGATTTTCTTACTGTAAAAAGAATTATTTTAAAAGATGCCTTTTAATTTCAACTGCTACTTTCCCTGCTATTTTATAATAGTGAATGATAATGAAGTTGTCATTTTACATACAGGATAATAAATTTCCCTGCTATGAATACAAGGCTATTGCTCATTCACAGGGCCCTGATTATATTGTGCTGGGAGAGCATGACAAGTGCTTTATGAATGGCACAGTCCTGCAAGTGAACTCAGTCAGTGCTCATTAGAGGGTCATCCTCCTGGAATTTGAAAAAGGGAACTTCATGCATGGGGGTGTTCTCTAATTTTTCACACTCACTGTGTAAGTAACACCTGCACATCAAGGTCTCCCAGCGTAGTTCTGCATCTTCATTTCAGTTAAAGCAGTGATCTTTCACTTCAGGAAAAGCAGTGACACATGACATATGTGGAAACTTACTCACATAATTTGACCATCTTTCATACACAGTCCCACGCTGACAAACACCTGCCTGTCACCCCAGCTGGAGACAAATCCACCCCTACGAATTCCTGCACTGAGGTATTTTATTATTCAGAGGAAAACCACAGAATTACTGTTAGAAATGTCAACTTGTTTGTGGCAGATGCAGATGGCAATCTTCTTTTTTTTTTTGTCCTTCTTTCTCTGGATGCCCTATTCCAGTCTGGAATATAACAGCTCATTTCTGATGGGTATTATACATTTCAGTGTCTGAACAGTCACAGGGTAGTGACCTTCTCTCACATTACAACCTGCACATATCAATGCAGCTTGGACTGAGACCAGTTTTTAAACTGAAGTTTCTGCCTGTGTGTTATGTGACAATCTCCACAGGTTTATACTACGAAAACAAAAGCTTTTCTCACCCATTTTCACTCTTCAATATTGACACAATATTTATCCGCTTTCTTTCATGACAGATACTACACCTTAAACTTTCATTCTAAATTGTGTAACCACGTGAACACTTCTGCTGTTCCAAGTTTTGTATTTTATATTCCTGTATTTTCATCTCTCATAGTTCATTTGTGCCTATCCTTTCTTCTCCATGCAGAAGATACTCAGTTCTGATGGGGCACTGTGCTCATCTTGCTCCTCTCCCATCAGAGCCAGGGGACACAGGACACTGTATGAAACTGATTTGTAGTATACAAAGGAAAAGCAGGTAACTGTGCAAGGGAGCAGTCCAATTTTAAGTTCAATGCTTGCTGTTAAAGCAAAAAAATGTTCAAAGGCAGCAGGCACTGGTGTGGCATTAGTTCTGATGTGTGTTCTCTTTTGGGCAGGAAAACTAACCCTGGATCCGATGGGGTAATTCCTCTCTGGCACAGCCCTGACCTCACTCAAATAGACCAAAGATGAGTTGGAGGCAGAAATGAGTTGGGACTAGAAACCTTACTGGATTCCTCTTGAAGTGAGGTAGTCAAGCAGTGTCAGAAACACTTCCCTTTGTTTGAGCTGAGCTCCAGGCAGTGATCAGCCCTTCACTTGATGTGAGCTGACAGCCTCAGAGCAATGATCTCGGTGTACAGCAGAGACACAGCCCAGAGCCCCTGTGCCCAGAGCAGGCCCAGGAGCACACAGACACTGCAGTTGGTTAGAAATAAGGTCAATGGACTCTTCAAGGTCACTGTACTGAAAGAAATCTTTGCTTTGGTGCCCTTGGGCATCTCCCTCCACAAAGGGTTCAAGGCTTTTTAAGTTCAGGTATTTACACCCAGCTTACCTCATCCAGCACTGGGAGCATCCATTCCAGTTCTCACCTTTTGGAAGGAAATGGTGATCCAGTTCATTCAAAGTATCCCAAAATCCATTTGGCCCCCAGCAGCTCTCTCATCTGCTGGGATGAACTGCTGGTGCTGGTCTGCAGTGCTGTCAGAGCAGATTCCAGAGTTGGGGAGACAGCCAGTCCCCCATCCTGTGCTGCCTGGTGCACCACAACTCCCTGCCAACACTGCTTTCCCAGTGCCCAGCCACTTCTGGCCCTCGGGACTTCCAACCCAGTGCCAGGTACAGAAACTTCACTGTGACAGCATCAAATTATTCATTACTCCACTCTCATGGTTACCAAACCTGCACTTCATGTAAAAAGCAAATGCCTTCAGAATTACCTGTTCCTCTACACTTGAATCCCACATACATTTCCTAATGCCATGGCAATCTGAAGGTTAAAGAAATCAGTGAAAAAGATTGGATATATATAGCTCCATTCTCTTGGGAAATTCTCTGTTCTATACCAAGCCTGACTCCTTGGAATGCTTATGTGTTAAATATATTTTTTAAAAGATTCCTGCTCAGATAGATCCTTGGTGAGAGGATAATGGTCTGATCTCCTAATCAGAGCCACAGAAGAAGATATTGGTGCCCAGACAAAACCCATTTTGTTTCAGTGCCATTTTTCATTAGTATTGACTTCCACAGATCCGTCTGCAGGATCTGAAAAGCAGGGACTTACCTAAAGTTGTTGATATACAGCTTTTATTTTCATGGCACAGGTCTACATGGCTTAAAGGAAACTTATCCTGAAGGAATATTTTTCACAAATTAGTCTTTAACATTACATGAGATATTCCAGTCAGAGCTGCACTTTATAGGGAGTTAATTTATCAAATGAGGTTAACTATCTAGCCATTTTATCAAGGCATTCCTTTTATTTTTCCTTTCAATATGGTGAACAGGAAAGCAGTTTCAAAATCAAAACCCTACACAAATTGGAAATAAAATTCAGAAACACACATTCTTTTACAATGGCACTATTTCATTACACCTCCCAAGTGCATAGTAAGCACACAAAATCCTCCAAGTTCTCATTTAATACAAGCAAAAAATGGAATTCATATTTTCAGGAGCTAACCCATCTTATAATCTTTAGACCTCTGAACTACAGGAAAAAGACTAATCATCTCAATTTCATATCATCTACATATTACATATAATCAAGATTTTCAGAATGGACTGGCTTCTTTCTTCAGATAACACTGAGGTTGTTCAGTAGCTTTATTTTATATATTTTAGGAGTCTCACCCTGAATACTGTGAGTTTGACTCCAAGTCTCTGACCAGTTTTCAAAATCTACATTCTCAAAAAAATACAGGGACTATTTCTTCCCACCTGAAAGACTGATTACCTGAATATCTGGCCTTTCTATATACCAGCACCTAAAAATGTGGATAACTGAAAGTTTACCTGTCAGTAAATTATCCCATCCCAGCTTCTGAGGTTCTGCCTGGCTATTTTTTTCCTTCCTTGCCTTTTTCTTTCTTCCCATTATGCTTTATTGCCCTGGGACCTCCATTACTGAATCAGCAGCTTGAGAGGCATAAGCTACAGTTTACTGGCAGAACCAATTATAAATAAGAAAGAAAAGCAAACAAAAAAGCAAATGAATATAATTCCAATCCATTCAGTGCAATGTACATTACAAACATCTTCATATTCCAGTTTAATTTCTGACAACAATATAACTATGGAAGAAAACATTGTCTAACTAACTCTGCTTTCACAAAATGCCTCTTACTGAATTCCAGCCCACAGTGCCTTCTGTACAAACACTCTCACAAACTCCAAAAATCATATTCAGAGCACAAATAAAATGTGCTTCTTAATCAAAGTATGTACTATCTACTTACATTAATGGCCAGAATTAATGTTCTCTTTTTATTGTACTATGTTATAAAAATACAAATTGATACAAAGTAAACTAATTTTGCAAATAAGCTGTTTTATTCAGACTCAACATTCTATAAAGTGTTATAAAAATCAACCTTTCATTGCACATTTCCACATAACATGATATTTATTGGTTTCCAGAAATCACTGCATCAATTTTCTATTATTTCATGGTCAAAAAAAAATAGTAGTTACTTAATATTCTGCATTGACTAGCTATCATTTTTTGGCAAGGTGATTTTACTACGTGAAAATGTAGAAGTAGATGGAATGACAGAGTCATCACTCAGGCGTCTCAAATTCCGTGTCAAGGCTTGATAAAGGTAACACAACTTGGCAGCTGCTCTTTTGCATACAAAAGGCAGAAATACTTGCATATTCCATCTGAGTGGGTAAACTCTGCAAGGTGCTACTGACTAAAAAATAGCAGTTTGTGTTGAGACCAGCACAGACACTGATAACAGCACTTGAGCATTAATCTCACAGGTACAGCAATGAGGACACACAATGCATTCCTACAAACCTGGCTATGAAAGAAATGCTAAAATCTGCCCTTACACACAAGAATATTATTTTCCACACCTTACTAAAACCCCCAAAAGTATCTGTTTCAAGTCCCTTAACTTAATGAACTTGCATTCACCCTGTATGCAAGAAGTTAAGATGCTTGGACATGAAACATTCCCTGAATTCGATATAGTTCCTCTGGACAGGGAATCACATTCATTTTCTATTTGTCTCAGAATACCAAATCACAGTATGTGTGATAAGAGTATGCTGCATATTAACTCATGTAAACTGCAAATGGAAAACACAGGGAATTTGTGTTCATCTTATTTGCTCCAAGTATAAAATATTAAGGATCTCCTTATTTCCCCTCTAACACTACAAGATGTTTCAGCTGCTGAGAACATGAAATGAGACTGCATAAAAAAACAACAACCAAGCAGCATCCAAAACTATTTCAGAATCCTCAGTGTACAGGCTGAAAACACCAAATGTTTGGGAAGCCATTGCCAAGTATTTTATTTACTTTTTTTAAGGACAGGGGCATCAGCAGCTTCCGTAGCAAGTTCACCAAAAAGTCAGCCCTGTCCACCTCTCCTTGGGGTCACTCACACTGCTATCAGGACTGTGCTACACAAAAGCAAAGTGGGGCTACAAGGGACACTAATTAAAAACTGGAAATGCACTGAGAGCTGAGAGAAACCCTCAGCAAGCCACGTACCTGTGCTAAGAGCACTTGGTATTATTGCTCTGTCACCAGCATGGTCGGGGGAGTGCAGCCTCAAGGGGAGAAAATTAACAGGTCTCTGCAAAACGACTGAAAAAATAAAAATTCTCTTACATTAGTGCCTCAAAGCATCACACTGCACACCTACAGCACTGCATGGTAAAGGCAGCCACTCTATATATAATATATATATAATATCATGTATAGTAACAGCCACTAAAGGACCTTCTTCCAAAGATCATGCTTTGAAGTTCCACTCAATCCTATCAAATAATCCAAGAGTGATCAGACAAGGTGGTGTTACACTGTCTGAACACTTGAGAAGTGTTCCATAAACATTAAAGGCAGCACACATTTAAAAGAAAAAGAAAGACCAAGACTTCATTTTCAAAGGCTTTCTGGAAAATAAATCAGAGAGAAGCAGCTTAAACAAGCTTAATATAAGCTTAAATAAACCCTATTTTTTTTTAACCAAATGGATTAGGCAGATGAGAAAGCATATACTACATTTACACAGCCCTTATTCTGATTAAATTTCTTAAATTAAGCCCTTGTATTAATTCCAACCTGTGAAATTTATAAAAGTATGTCTGCATTAATCCAACATTCATAATAGGTACAAAGTTAATTCTAGATTATATCACTTGTACGTACACATTCATATTCTGCCCTGTGGGCTTACTTAACATTGATCAAGAGACTCCTCCCAAGTTAAAAAAAATTACAATCTTCCTTGTAATAGTCTATGTTGAGAGATTAAAGAAAATAGACTAAACAGAAATAATTGATCTTCTGATACCAATTCTATCGGGAAATTCCTTGAATGGTGGCCAAATTCTGCTGACCTTGCTTCTGTGGAATAGTACCCTGGTAAATAATTATGGTAAAGTCAACCCTGCTGAAAAAAAACAGTCCAGTAAGGTCAGTAAGACTGAGGGGCAACATAACCTTTTTTGTAAATCCATGCAGGTGTACATTTTCTCCAGTTATGACAAGGGTGTATGAGCAATAGTAGAAATACCCAGCAGCAGTGGGATTATAATTAGGGAAGAACAAAGGCTTAACAGCACCATAGTTTTGGTAAACACTAAGCAGTCTAATTTAGATATTTTTAAAGCCTTTTCTTCCCAGATGAGTTTTCATTATTCTCAGGCACTTCCTAGGCTCAAATGTGCATGTTCAAGTTTGTGCATGTGCCTTTAGTCCTTGTCATCCTTTATAGTGTAAAACACAGCAGGACAGCATAATTACACACATCAGTTTGGTGTGTAGCCAGCATGGGGAATGTAGGGAATGCTGGATGGCTCCTGCAAGGTCAGAGAAATTCTGTGCTTAGACACTGCCTGCTTTACTTTGTAGACAGGGAGTACCAATTCTGATCCTTTGTCTATAATGTCTTATTCATCCAGCTTCAGAATTGGATTCAAATAGACTTCAAAAGTTTATTTCAAAACTTTCAAGATTATCACCTTTCTACACTGCTACTTTAGAGGGAATTTCCTGGTCCAGACATTAGAGAGAAAGAAGATGGGAAAAAATCTCTTTCCATTTAGTCAAGCTATAACTGAAAACCTGCTGCTTGCATGGACTCAGAAGTGAATACTTTGAATGTAACAGATGATGTCTCCTTACACTTTATCCATCTGGATCTGAGCAGGACTTTTCCACCACTTTCAGCTCTTTATTACGGTCAGCTGCACCAGGAATAATAATTTAAACTTGAGGGAGGTGAGCTGAGAACTGAATAGGGAACAAAAGGCATGACTGAGATCAGAGAGAGAAAAGAGGGGGATTAACTTGGTGGTTGGCAAATTAAAGGGCATCTTAGGAAGTGATAAGGAAGCAGAATGAGATAGAAAGCTAGTGGGAATGGCTGAGAAAAAGGTGGTGAGGGATGGGAAAAATCACCACATTGCAAAAAGATGTGAGAGAAGGTGAATGCAGGAGATTGAAGAAGATGGTGTTAGAGGGATAAAAAATAGCCAGATGGTTAAAACCACCCAAAATTATCACTGCATTGGTACCCAATAATTTTTATAATTATTATAACATGTAACAGACCACAAACATGTTAATAGTCTACATTTGAGACATTTGCTTGTGCAATTGCAGCCCCTACCTCAAATTTTGTAGATTCAGAGCTCCAAAAGACACCTCCTTACTTTGCTTTGAACACTAATAGTGCTGTACAAGGCTGTTTCCCAAATAGGTCCCAGGCATCTCAAAATGAGATTTGCTTCCTATCACTTTTCTGGGACTGCTAAAAAGTTTCAGAGTGACAAAGGGAAAGGAGATCTCCCCACACTGAGCTTGTTTGCTGAGACAGTGACAGAGTGCCAGGAGATGCATTTATAGTTACCCATGTGCTGCTGGGTGATTCCCCTCCCTGCATTTTCTAATACATCTTTTGTTCTCCATCAGACTCCAGAAGTATAAAGAAATCCCATGACTGGGGACCAGGGACTGTGCAAAAGACCTCAAAAGATAAGGACATTAGTTTCTATGATTTAAAAAAAAACAACTTTGAGGCTTGAAGGACAAATCTCAACTTTCCAACATATTATACCTGTGAAATCCTAGAGATGGTGTCTGAGAGTTTTTCTAGATGAAATGATGGTTACCTTTTGAATGTTTGCCATTAAACTAATGACAATAATTTAGTAACTCAGATATCCAGGAAGAAATTTTGAGGAACTGTTTCTACAGAAGAATGAAACACTTTCTCTGTGAGGGTGACCTTGCACTGGCAGAGATTGCCCAGAGAGGTTGAGAAATCTCCATTCCTGCAGGGTATTCAACAGAAATCTGAACACAGCCCCTCCTGGAAGCTGTTTTTAGGTGACCCTGCTTGAGCATGGGGGTTGGAATAGATGACCTCCAGTGGTTCCTTCTGTAATATCTCAGATTTAACCTTTCCCCACCCACTGTGGCAAGAACTGAGGTCAGCTGCAGTGCCTCCTTTCACATCCCCAGACTGAAATACTTTCCTGAAAGATAAGTGAGGCAGTGCAAAGTATTTGCTAATTTTCTCGTGTAATTATTTACATCTATGTTTATGTAGATGTATCATACCACTGCAAGCAAATTAATGTTTGCACAACCTTTTGAAGATAAAAGGCATTTTTGTGCTTGCATATATTCGCACAGGTACTATTTTTTTTGGATGATAAAAACAATTCACTGCCTTTTTTAAGGTTAGTACTCAAAATCCAGCTCACATGCACTTTTTATTCATCTGACTTGATTGTACTTTAGCTTTTTTATGGACTCTTTAAAATACATACTAATAAAAACTTATTGGCTTTTTATTATCAACTGTCTCAACATACAAATATTGCAGGCTGCAGGGATTTTCTGGTCACTGTGAGCATGACTCTAGATCAAGTAGCAATCAATGCATTTGTTATACTGTCTCTGGCAATTGATGCTTCTGAGAAGCTAACACATTTTTAGTATCATTCAGGCAATTTGCAAATGTACTTCTGCCTTTAAGGGCGCTCTGTTTGTTCCAGTACAACATAGGAATGGAGTCTGCTGTGATTTACTAACACCTTCCTTTGGCTGATGTTCCACAGCTGGTTGGGCAAAATCTCTATGTTAGAAGCACACCAGGTACTTAAGACCTTAACTTGCTATACATTCCTTCGAGTCAATAGGTAGGATTTAAAAACCAATGGAAGGATATGGCTCAAAAGTGCTTTTTTTTAAAGCTATAATGATACAAATATTATCACTGAGCAATAATGATACAAATATTATCACTTACACTTGTATGTAAGATCTGAACATTGAAATAAAAGCTTACAAAAGATCTATAAGTGTGAGATGACATTGAAATAAATGCATTTCAGTCCCTAAATAGCTCATCTGATTCATCTCACCAACAAGAACATCTGATTGTCTCTACAACAGACACACATTTACAACAGCAGGGCTTTTCTAGTGAAATACTTTGAAGTCTGCTATTTTAGAAGTGGTTACAGAAGGACATTAGTGAGAAAACAAAATAAATATTTTATTTTGGAATTACAGGGTTGAGAAATCATCCATGAGGGATATTGGTCCCACCAGATTTCACTGATTTTGCTGAGTACACTTTGGTTGCATTAGAGGTGGGTTTGGTGGAACATTCTAAGGATGAGGAAGCAGTTATTAAATTCACCTGGTAGAGTTAACAAAGGTGTTAATCTCTCTTTTTGGTCTCCTAACGGTACCTGACCCTTTATCACTCAATACCATTGAAGGCTCCACAGTGAGACAGCACTCTAAAAGAAATTATGTCATTAATGAACTGTTACAAGAGTGGTCCCTGTCACAAATACAATCAATTGTAGCATCCACAGTACATCCCCAAGTCCCAAAAATAAACATACAATTCAAATGTGGATATTCCAACCACTTATATCTTACAATAATAAAAACTGTGCAAACAAGGGGGTGAATCTACATCATAAACAATGTCACTCTCCAGAAGTCAAATTCTCTCTGCACTAAACAGAACTGGTGCCAGCATTAGCAAAATAATCATCATCAACTTTTGCTGATCAGATGCCAAGGAAAGCTAGGAGATAATGATGTCTGAGTCCCTGCAGTCCCACTGCCTGGTGCTGCTGTACAACTGCACAGCTCTGCCCCTGGTCAGCCCCGGGGGGCTTTTCCCACTGTTCAATCATAACCTGTGAAGAAATGTAGAAACAGCATAGCTGTGTGTGCCCAGTCCTGGGCCATGGCTTGGAGAGACCCCTTTGCTAAGGACTTTGGAAACAGAAACCCAGATCTGTAAACAGCTCATTTCTTGCTATGTGAACTTCAAAACATTTCTCACCAAATTGTGCACTCAGAAATTTTCCTGAAGGCAATTTTTAAACATTAATACAGACACTTTTTCTATTTTTATTGCAACCTGAAATGTTCCTGTAATGTTTCCATGGCAAACTGGGTAACAATACATTTAACATTTCCATCAAATAAATTATATTTAAATTCTAAGTATCTATATAAAATTAATTATTTAAGCTCTAAACCTAGAATCGTTTGAGACTGTAAAACCCAAATAGGGCTTAACAATTTCAACTGTTTATATTACTAAAATCTGGAGTTCTCAAATGTGCATAGCATGCCCCTAGAGGACACTGAACCTCCTGATCTTTCTCTCACAGATTACTTTGGCCAACAGGCAATGGTGTGATTAGATCCTTTTACCAATGGAAAAACACATTTGCATTTTAGCTCTGCAATATGCTTCACCAGCTTGTGCCTCCACACTTGAATTCCTGGTTCTACAGCAGGGAATGAATGTATGTTTTCCTTGTGCTTTTTTGACAATGATCCAGGTCCTGTATTCCATCATTCCTTATGGAATGATCTGGCCTGGAATGGTAGATGGCAAAGAGCGATGGAATCCCAAAACTCTTCCCAGGACTTGGAGGCCTTGCTTTTATTTCCAGCTCTCTGGAAATTTATAGACCTTGAAGTGAAATGTTTTGGGAATGTTTGGTGAAAATTTGTAAAGGCCTCTAGCCTTATAAGGACTAGGCAGTTCTTTCATTTAACATAAACATTCAAAGCATTTTTGTGCAAGTGTAATTACCGATTCACACTTTTCAAATAATTTGAAATCATCACAAAAATTTCCTCTCCAAGGAACATTAGAGAAAACAACTCTTTATTTTCATACAGAAATGGAAGAATCAAAGTTTATCTGTATTCTCAGAACTGAGGTATTTCTTGTTCCACAGGAGTAAAGGTGTTGGATTGCACCCGTAAAGGTGTGCAGTGCATTTCCACTCCGGTGCTGGATACCCATGGAAACACCACTTCCTTCAGCTACTTACTCTGAACGGAGTAAGGAAGAAGCTGAACTTGCTGGAAACATTAAGAAACTTGTGCCAGATTTTTCTGACAGAGGAAATGGCCCCTGGGTGCACATCTGGGGTGTCTCAGAACCAGGGCTTCAGCACATCACAGGACGTGCTTGGTACTTTGCATGATTGAGCTCTTAGTCATAAAAACGTATTTTACATACAAAAATACAGCAGATGTCCTTCCAAAAATCATCTCTGAAGTGTTATTCCGTCTCTTTAGGTTTCATACATTCAGGAACAGACATTTCAGATATACTGTGAACAGTGCAAAATACTGTTTTACATTTCTGAAACCACGTGTTGCAGTACCTTTAAGAGCCAGCTGAAGGAAAGGCTGAGAAAGGTTTGATCCTCAGAACAATTCTGGTCCAAGTCAAACTTTTGTTTAGCGAGCTGTAAACAAATGTCTTAGAATGCAGAGAATCCTCTCATTTCTTTCCAGCTAAGGTAGTCTCAAACACATCAAGTCCTGCTTTGAAGTAAACCTGAGCTGAATTGATGCTGTTCAGCACCTCTGACAAGGCTGCTTGAACAGTCTCATTTGACTGATGTAGTTTGCAGTGCTCCAGTGCCTCCAGCAGTACTGAAAACTGGCTGGTCCTGTCATCCAGTCTGTAAAGAATATTTCTGAAAGAGAACAATGGAGAGAATGATAAAATTTTTACTCAAAAACAATCCATCAGATTCTGTCAAGAAACCCTGCAAGTATCAGCTTACAGATGATACAAACAATGCACAGTAAGGTTGACCCGTGGCAGATTGAGAGACAAATTTATATTTATTATGCCTCTATGAACTGAATCTATTTGCTGAACTAGGTGTACTTACATTGGAGCAGTTACTAAATCCATCAAAGAAATCTCACATTCCTCTTTGACCATTCAAGATTTTATTAAGAAGCATCAGCTTAGACCTATCACACCCCTCATGAAGGATTTTGTATCGCAGATTAATTCCATTTATTCCTCTCTAAAAAGTTTGGTTATTGCTGTGAACCCTCAGCACAGGTTTGGCTTTGTTTTTGTTTTTCCTATCTGCTCATGTTATTTATTTCACACCTCAGAGGTGAAATTCCAGCTGCATTGAAGCCAATGGTAAAACTCTCCTTGCCTTCAGCAGAGACTTTATTTCATCAATAATCCTTTGTGGTTTCAGAACAAGAGTAACCCACCTTTAATGTCCCATGCTAGAGGAAAGAAACAGCACACACAGCTAAACCCTTGTGAAACAAAATCTGTGTTTTCAAGTAATATCTGCAAAAAATTTTAAGGGTTTGTAGAAAAACAGATGCAGGAGTATCGTGTGATCCCTTGGAAATGCTATCTGTGTGAGGTGTGGAAGGCTCGGAATTCAAAGCTAGTCAGGAATTTTAATGGGACTCTTTGAAGCAGGCTATAAATGTTATCCAAAACCAGGTGTAATCATTATACTAATTAGAAGAGCACATAAATATCATAAATCTCCACCCAGGAGCTCCTTTGATTGCAAACAGAAGTGAAGGAAATCTGAAACAGGAAAGCTACAGTGATTTGGTGCAGGACCTTATCCTTAAATACAGGACAGGTGCTCAGGGCAGGGGAGAAGCTGCTCCAGGGAGAACCCAGCAAGAAACACGACAACTCACACACTTTGTTAGTAACCTAATGGCACCACAGAACAGGCCAAATGGCAAATCCAAATTAGTAATAAAACTGCCAAGTTTATTTACAGAAGACAGATGAACACAAAAGTGCATCTTGTCATTCCAAGGATCTCCTAACTGCAACTCTGCCTGGGGGAAAGGTAACAAAGGAGCCCAACAAATGACACCACAGAACACCCACAATCTTTTGCCATGTTTTTAATTTAAAAAACGTTTTGAATGAGAGGCCATTTTTTTCAAAGATACAAAATAACTCCTGTCCTCATAAGGCAATTTTTCAGTCCATGTTTTTAGCCCCCCATATTGAGTATACATCCAAACCCAGCAGTGTGCAGAAGGAATGATGAGTTTTTCATCCCCTGACAGCAATACATCCAGACAGTTCAAGGGGTCTGCAATGCAATGCATTGGAGATATAAACAGAGGAGGGAAAGGGTTGGAATCCACCACTGCAGCAGAAAGACAGTTTAAACAACAGGCTATCACTGACAGAGACCACTTAGACAGGAACAGGTTAGGAGTACGTGCAAGAACAGCTCAGTGAGGACAGAGAGCCTCATCAAGAGGGCAGAAAGAGGCAGATGTGGCAATAACTTCCTCAGCTTGCACTGCAGCAGCCACAGGACAAGCCCCTGCTCCCTCAGCTCGGAGCTGATGCTACTCAGAGGTGCAGCTCATACTCAGAGGTTATCTCATGGTTATCTCGTGGTTATCTCGTGGTTATCTCGTGGACTGTCCCAAAGCAGTCTCTGCAATACTGTAAATGAAAATGTGTATGTTGAGAACCAGATAAATTCTTGGTTGGTTGGTTGGTTTTTAAGGATAGGCTGTGCTGTGGGAAATACTGCATTTTTCAAAGCAGGGATTGATTTTGCTGTCTCAGTTCAGGGATTCCTGCTGAGATCAGTGCAAGCAGAACCAGGCTTTTGAAGAACTCTCCTCTGTAGTTCCTGTAGTTCACAGGGAGAAAGAAGCCTGCTCACAGCCCCTCAAACACCTCCAACAGCAAGGACAGTGCTATAGATAATCACATTTCCTTCTACCCTCAGGAGAGATCTGGCTGCTGGTGGCTGGGAGAGTTTGACTGAGCTGGAATTCTACTCCAAATTCCCACAACACTGGTGCCCTGATCTGTCTTAGCACCCCTCTATTCCTTTAGGTCAGCTTATAAAAACATCATAAGACAGCAACCATCAGCAGAACACTGATTGCCAGAAGTGACTGAAGAGAGGATGGTCTGAACGTTGAAATATTTGGGGACTGCTGAGACAAAGTTGGTGGTGAACAGGAACAGACCTCATGTCCATCATCAAATGTGGTCTAAACAAGGCACACGAGCTAAAAAAAGTTTACCCTGACATGAAATGGTGTTAATACAGTTTAAATCTAGTGCTGTGATTTTGGAATCACTGGTGATTCCACAGTAAATACGTAAGCATGTGATCCAAGCCAAAACAAGTACTGCTAGTCCTCCCCACCTGAATGCAGGGCAAATTAGTGCCTGATGAGAGCTTAGATGTTTGATGAATGAGACAAGCAATCTACTGTCATAATTTTAAAATAATATCTTAACTCCTGAAATAGTATCATCACTTCAGAATAGCTGATTACATAGTACGACAGAACTTCATTTATATTTTTATGTGTGCAACTAATAATAAGTAACATAATACAGCACCTGTTTTTTCAGATTTTCTGCTAGGAATTCTCACTGGGGTTTTGTATTTTCCAATTACTTATCTTTGCTTGGCAAGCCATGCCACCCCTTTGTTGCTTAAAATGATTTCTCTATGCATGTTCATGAGAGTCAATTTATACAAGTTAACTTTTATCTCTGTTGAAGCTTCATCAAATGAAGAAAATGGTCAGTTCAGTTTATTACTTCCAAGCCTTTACAAGTCAGAAAAGCGTTTTCATTAAGGATTACACATCCACTGAAAAATAAACCCCAGTCATTTCACTGACACAAGGTATCACCATGTGCCCACAACATCCAGAATGATAGCAAGAGACCTTAATTCACACTGTGAAATTCAATTACTTTAACATTCCTTAACAAAAATTGGTTTTGTAGCCTACACTTCTAAAACAACAATTCCAGCTTCTTGCCTAATTGCTTAAGTATCTACCTTCATCTTTAACTATTTTATCCTATAAATATAATTCACACAGTCAGCCTGACCCCCACAAAACAGAAAGACACTCCTAAACAGAAAACTGCAGTACATTATTGATGACACTGATGAAATTACAACACACATCATTCATCCTAATGGGCTTGTTTCTATGACACATCCCAGTGACCTGAAAAGTGTAAGGTAGGAAACCTAATTAATAACTTCAGGCAGTACCACTGAAAGATAAAAGGGCTACAAACAAAACAAACAGTGTTAGCAAAGTAAAGAAACAATAAACAGAGCCTCTTCTGTAACTTCTCTAAGTCCTTGGCAGGCCTAGGAACACCAGAATTCCTGATTCAAATAATGCCATTAAATGCTGTTCTACATAACCACAAATGAGAAGGGACTGTCACACTCACCAGACCAGAAGGATTTTGGCAAATCCTTGAATGACAGGTCACACTAGAAATAAATTGGCTTTAACACAACTTCAATATTAGAGCAACTGGACAGTACAAGATGAAACCAGATTACCACATTATTCTTGTCACGAAAAACGATTTCTTAGCTTGCAAGAAAATTTTGTCTGTAGGAAGTGTACAACACAAGATGAATTATTCAGGCACTTACAAACAGACTCCTATCTAACAGCCCACGTTTGAGATTTTGAAAAGTAATTATTAAATCATTAGGAGACGATGGTAAGTCTACTGTCCCACATGAAATGAGTGCAGGTTTTCTCTGTGGAATCACAGTAAAATTGTTTATAGATAAATGCTGTGGGCAGCTTTTGTCTATTCCAGTTAGAATGCAATGTGCTATGACTTCAGCATCTTTACAAACTCAATTTTATAATTCCCTGAATTGTTTTTTCTTGTATTCTCCAAGGGAAAAAAAAAAAAGAAAAAAAGCAAGCACACCAGAACAAGGATTCTCTGATTTTCCTTTTCTCCTGATACTGTTCAATTTTGAATGCACTTTTCTTATGTTTAGGAGTATGTTTTCATTCATGTTTGTAAGAAGACATAAAGTATGATTACTTTAGTAAATAAGTAAATGCACTCTAACAACAGTATTTACATGTTGGGACTTCCAGTTCCATACAGTGGTTTTTCATTGTTGGACATAAAAATATCACAAAATCTTCTCAGGAAACAGCACAAGAGGATTTACACTGGTTTATTTATGCAAGTTCGCACCTCAGAAAATTTTGCAGTGAACACACAAAGAAAGTTTCCTTCCTTCCTCTGGGATCCTTATCCTTTGATCTCCAATGGTTCTTCTCCTTTCTTCTCTTCTTATTTTTTAAACCTTTTTGACACTCACATGCAGTTTTGTTATCTTACCTATTTTATTTCATTGTGGCAGAAGGTTTATAATTATAAAATTATAGCTGCTGGCCATGTAAGATTAGCTTTTATCAGGAGGGAATATATGCCCTGGTGAAGTGTCATTACATGTCATTAGGGCTGATCCAGAGGAACCCCTGGTTTTGTTTCTTTTGTTTCTTTTCTGCAATGCTACAATTCCCTGCTGGACTGATGCTGGAAGTCACCAGCTCTGGGGCCATGGGATGGAACAAAACACACCTGGGCAGGGAAGGTGGGGATGTGGCACCCAACCACTCAGGACAACTCAGCTGCAAATGCCACCACTCCTGCACTGCCCTAGGTCCCCACAAACCCAGCATGACATTTTTAAGGATCCTCTGCTTGTGATATGTTGTTCCTAACTTTTGTTTTCCCACACATCCTCTCCTTTTTTAAAGAGCCATCAACTGCCTTCTCCTGCTGCTCTCATTTACAGGCTGCAAATGGTTCTACCAATATATATTCCAGAAAGTGATATATTTAAAATCATGTTCA